CATATCCCGTGAATATTGGTCGGGACATGTCCCTACCGTCCCTACCCAAACCTACGCCCATGTTTGAAGGACAATTTTATTTACTTTATAATTCATTTTATTTGTTGTTTCTGTTGTGACAGGACTACGTGTTAGCTAACGCTGTTAGCTCTAGCTAACATAGTGAATAAGTTTAAGCTGGTATCTCGTGTTCTTGCTGACCTTCCTGTGTTGTTATATTCTGGAGTTACCGACCTGCGTTATTAACTCGGCATGCTTTGTGCAGGTTAAAAAGTTACGACATCCATACGTGAAAAATGTAATAAACATATAAATGTTTGAAGTAATTATGAGTATTTTTGCATCACAAAGCCTTTAGGTTTAGGTCAACGTTAGCAAACATTTTTCAAAAAGCTTTTTAACTAATTACATTATTAGACAAATTAAATTAAGCTTCTTTCTTTGTTCTGTTAACGACAGGAGTGTAGAAAATGGTTCAACTTTAGAGAAAAACCGCAGAAAACCCAAACTTAACCAGCGAGTGAATGAAACAAAGCCGTTTGTAGGAAATTAGCCTTAATTATCGCCTCATTATCTTACAACTGAATGCAGAAACCAAAAACACACAAACACCATTTAACACTTATGGAAAACTCATTTGTCATTTTGTTCTCCAGCTGCTAACATTCAGGAGAAAGCAGTTCCAGCCTTTCCAAGCATTTGTCCCAAAAGTTTTAGGAAGCGGCTCAAGGTTCAGACAAACGAATCGCCTCCAACCGCGAAGCACCAAGCTCCTCTGCTGCTCCTCTGCAGCTCCTCTGCAGCTCCTCTGCAGCTCCTCTGCTGCTCCTCTTCCTCTGCAGCTCCTCTGCTGCTCCTCTGCAGCTCCTCTTCCTCTGCTGCTCCTCTGCAGTTCCTCTCCTCCTCCTCTGCTGCTCCTCCTCTCCTCCTCCTCTGCAGCTCCTCTCCTCCTCCTCTCCTCCTGTTGCGATGCCGGGTAACCAGTTGCCTGCGGTGTTGCCATGAAGTGTAATCTGATGAACAAAGCTGGTCTTGAGATTTTCACCTCCACTGCTCCGGTAAATAAACACAAACGTTCTGCCAAAGAAATCCTGATAGCAACCAGCTAATTATGGTGGAAAACCGGAGTCGAATTCCGATTTACGCCACAAATAAATAAAGTATTTTCAGGTTTTATTGTTTCCAAAAGGAGCCAGAAAATGAGAAGGTGACCTGTTGGAAACCACCTGGGTTCCCGTGGAAACCAGAGTTGTTGTGCGATGCTGGAGCCAGCCAGCAGCAGAGCAAGGTAACCTTTTCTCTAATTGATGTGTGTGAGTGCGGCGCACACCATGCGGCCATATTGTGAGGGAGCGTGGAGGAGCCGGGGCCCCAGCATGCGGCGCGCTGCGACGGGGGGGGTTGATGCAGCTGTGCAGTTTGACTGATGCGCTGCAATCAGACAGCGGCGTAATGGGCTCAGTCTGAGGAGGAAGCTTTCTTTCACATCCACACCAGAGAAATGACTGAAAAACCTTTCTGGCTGCTGCACAAAATAAAAACCAACCTGGATTATAAACGGCTATTACAGTTTATTAAAACCATAAATGATCTGGTCTAAACAGGCAGCAGAGTGATATAAATCCACTCTGAAATGAACGATGCATCAATGTCAGTCTGTTTCGCCAAGCCAAAGTGAATGAAACCATAAGCTGCAAACCATCCAGAGGCGACGTCCAGAAACCACGCTGAGCTCAGACCCTACAGGCCAAAGGTCAAAGTTCAAACAGGAAAACAGGCTTAGAACGGCTGAAGGATCCAAACTGGAGGATGTTCACTGAAGGAACATAACAGTAATTATGTATAAAAATGTACACATTTAAAATAAAAACCTTCTTACTTTGTAACTTTGTTCTAACCAGAACTCTTCAAGTAACATTTTTTAGTGACGCTTCATTACTTCAGTGAAACTGTTGATGTTTTTAGCTGCAGATGGATCCTCTGCTACAAACCATCACCTGCTCACTAGAGGAATGATGTGTTACAGGAAAATGTTTTATTTTAAAAGGAATTTAATTATTTATTTGCATTTTTATGCATTTCCAGGTTGAAATAGTAATGTAAAATAACCTTAAGTGGTTAAATGTAAAACATGCAGAATGTGCCAATGGATGGATTTTATGAACTACTTTTGGGTTTTTCCCTCAGGGAAACGATCTCCTCCGTCTCTCTACACACATAAACAGTAAAAATTTAAAAAGTAAATGATTCTCGTTAGTTCTTGATAGAATTTCAAAACAGTATGATTTCTGATCTTTAATAGATGATCAATAATAACATGGATCTGTTTTTGTTCCTCTGCTGGAGCTGTCCTGCTGCTGTCGCTCTCCATGGTGCTGAAACGGCGACGCTCTCAGTTCTTCCTGTTTGCAGTTTCTGCCTCCTGTAGCAGAAACACTTCACTCATGTTTTCTGTGCGTGAACTCGGCCGTCACTCCAATAACGGTGAGAATGTATCCGATTCATCTGTGCTTACACCTCAGTTTGCTGAGTCGTCGGGTTTCCAGCCAATCAGCTTTAAAGGGCCCGTTTTGCTGGCGCCGAATGTGTTGTTTGTGCCGTTTCCATGGCGCCTTCGGGAGCCGTTTTTAAGGAAAATGTTTGCTCATTAGTCGCCTTAATGCAAATTCACTCAGCATTGTTCAGATGTGAATCAGCATTGCTCTGGTAATGACTGCTCGAAAAGCAATTACCTTTGTAATCATGGCTTCCCTCCTAATGACTTTTCTTCAAATATACATTTATAATTCAGAGCTACAGAACCATGGTGATCTGGGGAAAGCTAAAGGAGTAGTTCTGTAAGAGGTAAGCAAAATCTGCAGAAACATTAGGAGCAGTTGAAACCAGATATTTACATGAATAAAAGACTTTTTCTCACTGTCTGAAGTGAAGTCTGATCAAACTTTTCTTGTTTTATGTCAGATAGAATTACCAAAATTATTTGTTTGTTAAATGCCAGAAAACTTGGCAAAAATTTTATTTTTATTTTTGCAGCTTTCCTTAAATTTAGGCGTTTACAAACATTTTTGGTCGGTATCAGGAAAACCGTCTTCTAAGCGGTTTGACTTGGGTCTAACCTTTTGGGTTTCCTGTCAGAGGCTTGAGGAGGAAAATGACAAAATGCTACAAACACAGGAAACAGGAGCAGAAGTCCTCCAGGCCACCAGGGGGAGTCGATCAGCAAATCATCTTTGACCAAAGTTATAAAATTTGGGGGTCTTTTTTAGCTTAGTTTTAGTTTGTTGTGACTATTTGCTTGTCTAGCTGAGTTAGCTTTAAGTCGTTTTTAAAGTGTGTTTACAAGTTTCTATCAGTTTTAGTTTTCTCATACTTTGATTCATTTTTGTGCTGCGTATTGTGATTCTCTGCCCATCGATTTGGTAATGAATACTCAACAGGAGATACAATTTAGAAAAAAATATTCAGTGATCGTTGACCAACCTGGTGTTTTATCCCAGATTTTGCTGTCACCGTTTTGTGGGCTAGCATAAGTGCCGCCGCTGCTGTAAACGGCTTTTGTGGGGAAAATAAATTTATTTCACATCAGTTCAAAAGGCTGATAAATATCCATAAACATGAAAACAAAAGATATACCGGATATGGTCCCAGTTGGTTATAGTTTCCCCCATTACTTGCCGTTTTTATTTATTTCAGCTATGAAAATGTTTTTTTCATTGTCAGTTTTTGTCATTTTGTTCGTTTTAGTTAATTTTAATAACCTGGTTTGGACCTTCAGTAAAGACGGGATGTCCAGAAGAAATCGGGAGGAAGAAAGAAATGGTGCGTTATACTTCATGTGTTACAGTATTATAAACTGTTGTTGTAGGTAGTATTCCCTGCTCCAGGCTCCCCCTGGTGGTCTGGAGGACTTCCGTTATGTGGATTTAGTTTGCAGCTTGTTTTATTCAGTTTTTGTTATTTGTTGTTTCCATTTCCTGTGGTTGCAGCATTTTTCATTTGTTTTGTTAATTGTACGTCTTTTGCTCCTGTCAGGCTGCAGTTTTTACCAGTCTGGAGTCCAGTCCTCGTTTTCCAGCAAACCCATGGAAACTAGAGCTCCATCCCTGCACCACATCTTTATTTTATATTCACATCTCAATGTTTCTGTCTTTGCTCTTCGTTGTTCCCGACCTCGACCCGTGGTATCCCCGCTGGTTCTGATGGGATCCACCCCGATTCCTCTCCGTGTTCATCTCCCCTCAGCTGTCTGACTGTTTCAGTTGAAAGTGAAAGATGAGGGATTGGAGGAAGCGGTCCAGCTGGTTCTGTTCGTCCGAAGACTGATGGACGTCCTTGGGCGGTTGGACCCTCCGGCTCCTCATTCAGTTTCTGTGGCACCTTCATTTCAGACGCTGGCAGTTCCCAAGGACGAACCTGGAGTCCAGCTGGATAAATCGTTCTGTGTTGCTCTCTCTCTCCGTTCTTCTATCGCACAGAGACTCTTTAAACTCTGGGTCGTTTGTTGGAATCCAAGCAGAAACTGTGAAAATGTCCAAATTTGTTTCAATTAATTAAATGTTTGGCTAATGTTTAATTAAACTGAAATGTCTCCAGAAAACATAAAATAAGTGCAAAGCTTTTATTTTTCTGGAAAACAGTCCAAACTTCCATGGCGCTGTGTGAAAAAGTAATAAACTGAATAACTGGATGAGCAACGACTGCAACCAAACATCTGATAGCTTGTAGCAAATATGTTTTTGTTGTTTTTTGATCTTATAAATAAGTACAGATGAACATACGCAGAAACAACGTGCAAACAAAATGCACACCTGTAGTTATTCATAGCACTGACGTTTTAACCAGAATAAACAGGAACCAGATAAAACAATACTTTTAAACCTACTTATTCTTCTCCAAACTTTAGATAAAACTCTGAACAATGTGGTTCAGGTAAACAGTGAAATCCAGCTTTAAAAACAACAGTCTTCTGCTGCTGACCTGATTTGTGGGCTTTGTTCTCTTCCATCAGTTCTCTTAATATCTTTTTGGGACCAAAACCAACAGAGGAATATTTTGTTACCCCGGAGGCCAAACAAAGATTTAATACTGCGTCTCCTTTATGTAACTTTGGTAAAGCAGTTTACAGGCAGCAGGGCTTTAAATCAGACTTTTGGTTTTTTTGAGGCAATTTTCCATAAAGGTAGTTCTTCAGCTGAGGCTGACAGCTCCATCCGTCACCCAGGAATTAAAGTACAAGACAGAAACGCTGCTGTGAGCTTGTAGGTGCCCGGCGTCTCTAACGGCGCTGATATGCAGAACGCTCAGTGAATATTAAGCGGCTGCCGCTGCGTTTTATTACATTAAAGATGTTTTTCAATCGATACAGAACAACGCAAACCGGACGGACGAGGAAAAGAGAGAAGAAGTCTGACATTTTAATTATTTGTTTTGACAAATCTCGCAGTCACATGCAGCGTGTTTGGCCTCCGTTTCCCTGCTTTCCTCATCATCTGTCAGCAGCTTCTGGACGTGTTAATGTGTGAGAGCTTCTCCACCGACACGGAAACCTACATCATATTTAGAAAACAGTAAAACGCAAACCATCCGGTTTTCACACATTTATGTCATCAGCATTAATTACTCTCAGGTGCTTTAAAGTCGGTTTGTTTTAGCATTAAACAGTTTCAAATGTAATTTTAGGAAAGAAATTATTTTTTCTGTACATAAACAGCTGTTTGTTTAGAAAGAAAGAAATGTGTTCACCCAATAAATTTATGTAAATTGGAATTATAAAAATAAATTTGCTCAGTGAAAACACACAAAAACAGGTTCAGATATTTTTATAAAAATTTGGCGCTAGAATGCGGTGGATTTTTTAAACTATTGAAATCAGAGAGTTTAATAAAACTGCACAGGAAACTCTTTTTCCACATTACACAGTCTCTGAAGATTCCCCAAAAGCAGGAAGTGGACTACAGAGCAGGGCATTCTGGGTAAATACAGCCACAACAAACAAGCTAGCTTAGCGCTGGCGGTAGAAACGGCTCCTGGTCTTTAGCCAGAGGCAAAAGAGAAATCCTAAACCAGCTAAGATCCGACACCACTACGTTTTCGCTTACATTTCATAAAGAACAAAATTGCCCTCTGTCTTCTTCAAAGGTTTTTGTGTAATTTCCTGCTTGGTGCAGCGCCCCCTCAGGCGAGGAGGGGAACAAGCTGCTAAAGGGTTTGGTTGTTGCAGTTCTGGTCCCCAATCGAGCCTCGTCTGCTGGACAATCAGGTCAGAAAAAAAATCCATTTCTGAGGAAATGGTGCTTTTTGTATTCTTGCTAAGCATGAAGCCTTAAAGGGGTCGCCCGCTGCTATCAATAGCAGTTTCAGAGGTTTTAAAATGAAAACCATTCTACTTGAATTCAGTTTACTTACATAGTAACACCTTTGAGTTTGAGGAAACGGCTGATTAACAAACCGTCTGTAATGGCTCTTCACTGCTGCTGTAGAAACATCACAGTTTTCAAAAACTGATTTAACCTGATTCTAGTTAATAAACTTGATCTTCTTTAGAAACTTTGATTCAGAACCGATGCAGACATTTATGAGCTGAACGGATTTAGTTTGTTAATCCTCTCAGTTCTCATGTTGATGGCATCAGATTTAACTGAGGAGAGACGTGAGGCTGGTGTGAACCTCTGACCTTGATGCTGGATGTGAAGCAGTTAGAGACCACAGGGGTTCTGCAAAAGACCAGGAACCGTGAACAGCAAATTGCTCCTGAAAGGGAAAAAAGAAGAAAAAACAGTAGTTTGAGAGGAGGAAGGGTGTTTTGTTGTTAACGGCGAGCCATTCCACACAATTTAACCGCCGCATCGGGAAGCTGCAGCGTCTCTGACCGCCGCCGTTCGCTGCTGCAACCGAAATGTCGACGGCGGGCGTGTCGGGGTTGCCATGGGAGACGGAAAGATCCCAGCTAGTTTTCAAAACTATTATGTTCAGGTTTGGCTCCTAAGTGACTTTTTATCTAGACAGAAAACATCCTTGAATCGGCTCTAATTACGTCTCCCATCCGAGGGAGAGGACACACACACACACAGCACACACACACAGCACACACACACACAGCACACACACACAGCACACGCACACAGCACACGCGCACACACACACACAGCACACACACACACCTTGCCATCAGCTGGTAAACATGTGCTCTTGAGTGACTCTCAGATAATTGCCACATTGCGACTGACTTGATTTGCACAACTTGATTTAATAAATCAGGCAGTAAATTGGAAAAAGCTTTGTGACAGTTATTGTACTGTCAACTCCAGGCTGCGTCTGTCCTCCCACCCCGGAGACGAGGAAGATGGCTGCCGATACGCATGAGTCACAGAGAGGGAGGCGGGAGGAGCGGCGACATTAGCCATCAGGGCTTCATACTTCATTTCTTCAGACTTTGCTGCACCTGTGACAGAAATAATATTCCACCCATTTAATGGTTCAGTCGGAGCGCGGCAGCGCCCGCTGAGCTAAATGCTGTCATTTTATTAGATACACAATCTGCAGCACATGCACTCCAGCATCAAGACGCAGAATCATGTCTGACAGGACTGCTGCGTCTGGCACTTTTCATGGCTTCTCTGCTGATTTTATCGCGGCTGTTTTCGACTTCCAGCTCAACCGATTACGGCCCGAGTGCTGATATGAGGCGGTGGCGGCATCACGGTAAAGCCCGGGAAGTCTGGGCGTTAGACGCAGGAAATGAGGAGTTTTCATCAAATGAAACTCCAAACAAACTGAAGTGGCTACTTTGAAAACAGAAAAGTGTCCTGAAGCATTTGACCAAAACGCAGACGGAAATCTGGACAAAAGGAACCAGAAGAGCTAATTATAGGTGAGTGGATGCAGCTGGGAAGGTGAATAAGAGATAAACAAGAAACGGTGGAAGAGAAATGGACTTTATATAAACAGTGAACACTAATCTGGTGCCGAAACGATTGTGATTAATCGATTTATTGAATTAATCGACAACGTATTTAGTAATTGATTAATCGTTAACTGGAGAATACAGACTCAAAAAAGGCCATTTGTCGAAATGACAATATAATCAGAGCTTGAATTAAAGTCTAAACTGCCCCAAAAATATATACATTTTACATTAATATGTTCTGATTACAGCTAAATCAATAATGCAGGTTTAGTTGTAATCTGGTTAAAAACTTTAAAGTATATGTATAAAAATCTTTCTGCATCTAATAATGAAGGAACCCACACGACTCTGTTTTCATAGTCAGTCCAGATTTTCACCTTTTTTCTGTCCTTTGCTACAAATGATCAAAGGAATTCACTAAAGGACTGATGTTAAGAAGTAAAATGTTTATTTTCTTATATAAAAATTATTTGCATCTTTTACTGCATTTCTATTGTTTCAAAAAGTGGTTAAATAAAAAATCTGCAGAATTTACCAGTTTTGTTGTTGATTAATAAATTACTCGTCAGAATAATCGCTTGTGGTTGTAATTTGTTTGTCTAGATTAGTGTTTACACATTAGGTTTAGGTTTCTGTCCCTCTTCCTCATTCGCTTTGCTTTTCTTCATCCTCAGTCGGCCATCTTGCTCCCTGCCCAGCTGCACCCACTCACCTGTAATTAGCTGCTCTGGTTCCTTTTGACATTCACCTGGGAAGTGAGATAAAAACCTTTTCAGCAGGTAAATATTTAATCTGCAGTTACATTCCAGGCATCAACCACCAGGAAAACAAACTTTCTCCTGTTTGATCAGAAATGCAGTAAAACACATTTTGTAAACCTAGTTTGGTGATCAATACGTTGGCTTATAGGAGGTGCATGACTTTCTAAAGAAGTTTTTTATTCTTTGAAAAAAAACTGATACAGAAACTTTGTTAAAAAAATAACTTTCACTGACAGATGTGATCCATGTATTAAAACTTGTGTGTTTTCCTCTGGCTGTAAATGATGCAGCCTGCTGTGATATCATAACCCTGTAAATGTTTTGGATTTTATGTCTGCAGTAAATGTGGTTCCCCTCCATCCTAAAATAAAAGCAGCAGACCTGGAAGTGTGCATCTCCATCTTGCGACAGACAAGCAAACCCCACAAATCTGTTTTGAAGGATCCTTTCTGTGTAATTATCTCGCTCCACACCCTTTTCGTTCCACAATGAGCCGCCCATCTGTCAACTTCACTCTCGCTGAGCTTCAGACACCTGCAGCCTCCCCGGCCGCCCGCGCTCTTTTTATGCGACACAACTTGGTGCCCTGACTGGCCACATTTCATCTTTTTCTAAGGCCCCCAGGCCCCGTTAAACCGGAGCCAGCAGCAGGGAACGGACCAGTCCGGCGCTGCTAACCCTTTAAAGGAGACATCAACTGATACTGTTAGGAAGTCTCAGCTTTCTGATACAACGGGCAATAATGCAGGAGAAATGAGTGAAGGCTTTTAATAAAAAGTGATTGAGACTCTTTGGTGAAGCGACAAACTCCAGTATGATGCCACTCTGTGTCCGACTCCAGTCCGTTTGTGTAGAAAGTCCAGTTTGTTTGCAGAGGCATGAATGCTAATCGAACTCTGATCCGCCTGCAAACCTCGGTCTCAGTTTGGTTGAAGTGAATTCTGGTTTGGTTTGAATGCATATGTGAACACCAAGTGGACCTGAGACCGCTCCAAAAGCAGGAAGTGGACTACGGTACAAGGCATTGTGGGTAAATACCAGTGGTGGAGAAAGTACTCAAAAAATGTAC